ATACTTGAATAGAATATCCAAATTCAATCCATTATTATATTCGAATTATTAGAATTAAGTTCATACATCGTAAGGGTCTATATTCAATATCTTCTATAGTCGCTACATCGTTGTACTTGCCTTAGTGTTAGGTAAGGATACAAACGGATTGGATCATATTCGAATCAGGTATACTCGAATCAGATTTGGCATTGTTCATGTCGAATCGGATCCGATCGGATTTGATAAGACTCGATTTGAATTTGAATTCTATCACTAAGTCAAATTTGATCCAATCCGACTTGTTTTCTTTAAAAATTAATAAATTATTTAAAGAAAAATAAAATATACTAATTTAAATAAAATAAAAACAAAAAAAAAAATAAATATTTTTTTAATTATTTTCATGATATATACATGTTTTTTATAAAAAAAATAAATAATATAACAAATTTATAAAAAATATATTTATAAATAAATAAACAACATATATGTATTATATATTTATATTTATAAATATAATATATATCGGATCAAATAAGGTAGTGATCTGAATCCGATCAAATTTCTGATCGGATGCTATTATCCTATTCGATCCGAAGATCCGTATAGGGGTGATCGACCAAATAGGATGGGATTAGACTTGTTCATGGGCTGGACTGGGCCGGGCTCGGGCTGGGCTTTTACTCTTCATAAACATGACTTTGTAAGGCCCGAGCCCGGCCCTAATAAAAAGCCTGAAGCTCAACCTAACAAAAGAAAGAACTAATTGCTGGTGACTGTGTTCGCCGGTGCTGAGTTCACATTAGAGAGAGAGAGAGAGAGAGAAGACTCACCATCGGTCTGCCGGAGTTGTTGCACCGGTGAATGTTCGTCGATTCTGTGGCTGCTTGAGAGTGTGAGGAGGATGTGAAGAGAAGAGAGGTTTGACACTAGGCAGTTCGGCTAACTGGAAAAGTGGAAAGAGATGAATAAGAAGGGTTACTTAGGATATTAGGGTTTTTGGGTTTAGTATATAGGTCGGGCCGGGTCGGGCTAATTTGGCAAATTCCGAGCCAGCTTGAATTTATTGTGGGTCGGGCTTTTTGGCCCAAGGTGAAGCCCGCGGGCTCATTTGCGTGTTCAAGCCGGGCCAGGCCGGGCCGACCCGTAGGGCCACCCGGCCCATGAACAGGTCTAGATGAGATCTCAAATCTCAGATCGGATCGAATCCATTTGCATCCGTAGTGTTAGGCCGAATTATATGCACTTGGTGGTTGTATTTAGTGGTTGTTTAAGCAATAATAACACCCCACATCAGTTATACAGCCCAGTGAGAGATTAACTTGATGGATGACGTGGTGTCACGGGGCTAGTCGTTGGGACCCCGTGCGGCACTCGAATGCGACGAGTAAGCCTAAACAACAAGCAACAACACACGAAAAGGCAACAGAGATGGCACACGAATTAGAAAAATGCTACTTGTATTGCATTAATGGATGGCAAGCATAAGCACACAGTTCGGTGTCGAGGGGATCTCACGCTTAACCATTACATGCTCATGACTCACTCGACTATCTACCTCCCCTCAAAGAGTATGTTAAGCTTTTGGGAGAGTGACAATAAGAAACATCAAAATGATGAAAATTCATACTAAGTAATTACAATAACACCACTGGCGGTCCCCCCTTACAAAATACATGCAAAGCCGACCCATGAAACACATGTTGACACCATGAAGGCACGCGGTTGGCACTCTGATGGCTCACGGTAGGTGCTTGATGGCACGACGAAAGAGTGACCTGTGACATTCTCCCCCACTCAATTCGATCTACGACCTTGGAGATCGGGTTCGGCTGGTCCCTTAGAGTCACTGTTGCGGAAGGAAGGTTCTTCTGCTGCTCCCCGAACCGGCTGTCGTCCAAGGCCGAGGTGTATATTTTGGTGGCATGGCTGGGTTGGCTCATTCTGTTGGGGTTTCCTATGG